ACAAAATTCAACATCCCTTCATGATAAAGATCTTGGAGAGATCAGGGGTAAGAGGAACATATCTAAACATGATAAACACAATATACAGTAAGCCAACAGCCAGCACCAAACTAAATGGAGAGAAACTCAAATTGATCCCACTGAAATCAGGAACAAGACAAGGATGTCCACTCTCTCTGTTCAACATAGTACTGAAAGTTCTAGATAGAGCAGTAAGAAATACTAGGGGATCAAGGGAATACAAATTGGAAAAGATCTCAAACTCTTACTATTAGCTGATGATATGATAGTTTATATAAGTAACCACAAAAATTTTAGCAGAGAACTACTACAGCTGAAAAACATCTTCAGTAAAGTGGCAGGATACAAGATTAACTAAAAAAAAAAATCAATAGCCCTGCTATATACAGATGATAAAATGCTCTAAGAAAGAAGTCAGATAAACATCACCCTTTACAATAGCAACAAACAACATAAAATATCTTGGGGTAACTATAACCAAACAAGTGAAAGACCTGTATGACAAGAACTTTAAGTCTTTAAAGCAAGAAATTAAAGAAGATACCAGAAAATGGAAAGATCTCCCATGCTCTTGGATAGATAGGATCAACATAGTAAAAATGGCAACCCTACCAAAAGCAATCTACAGTTTCAACGAAATCCCCATCGAAATCCCAGCACAGTTCTTCACAGACCTTGAAAGAACAATTCTCAACTTAAATGGAAAAACAAAAAACCCAGGATAGCCCAAACAACCCTGTACAATAAAGGATCTTCTGGGGGCATCACCATCCCTGACTTCAAGCTGTATTATGAAAACAGGTTGGTACTGGCATAAAAACAGACAGGTGGACCAGTGGAATCAAATTGAAGACCCTGATATCAGTTCACACACCTATGAACACCTATTTTTGACAAAGAAGCTAAAAATAGAAAAAAATTAACATTAAACAAATGGTGCTGGTCTAACTGGATGCCAACATATAGAGGAGTGCAGATATTCATATCTATTGCCATGCACAAAACTCAAATCCAAATGGATCAAAGACCTCAATATAAATCCATTCATGAGGCACCTCATAGAAGAGAAAGTGGGAAATACATTTAAACTCATGCACAGGAGACCACTTCCTAAATACAACACCAGTAGCACAGACTCTGAGAGCAACAAGGAATAAATGGGACCTCCTGAAACTGAGAAGCTTCTGTAAAACAAAGGACCCAGTTGGCAAGCAAAACAGATGCTGATAGATGGGAAAAGATATTCACCAGTCCCACACCTGACAGAGGGCTGATCTCCAAAGTATACAAAGAACTAAAGAAACTAGATATCAAACTACCAAATAATCCAATTTAAAAAATAGGGTACAGATCTAAACAGATAATTCTCAATGGAACAACCTCAAATCATGAAAAGACACCTAAGAAAATGCTTATAGCATCCTCAGTCATCAGGGAAATGCAAATCAAAATAACTGAGATTCCATCTTACACTGATCAGAATGGCTAAGATCAAAAACACTTATGAGCCGGGCAACACTTTTAATCCCAGCACTCGGGAGGCAGAGGCAGGTGGATCTCTGAGTTCGAGGCCAGTCTGGTCTTCAAAGAGAGTTCCAGGACAGTGTCCAAAACCTACAGAGAAGCCCTGTCGCGAAAAACAACACAAACAAAACAACAACAACAGAAAGAAACAAAAGAAAAACACTGACGATAGCTTATAGCTTATGCTCAATAAGATGTGGAGTAAGGGGAACATTCCTCCATTGCTTGTGGGAAACTTGTACAGCCACTGTGGAAATCAGTATGGTTATCTCTCAGAAAATTAGGAATCAGCCCACATCAAGACCCCGCAATACCACTTTTGGGCATATACCCAAAGGAGGCACACTCAAACCACAAGGGCATTTGCTCAACTATGTTCATAGCAACAATATTCATAATAGCCAGAACTTGGAAACAACCTAGATGCCCCTCAACTGAGGAATTGATAAAGAAAATGTGGTACATTTACACAATGGAGTACTACTCAGTGGTAAGAAACAATGACATCCTGAAATTTGCAGGCAAATG